AAAACCATTTGTCTTCAAAAGTATGACTTTAAAAGGCAGCATATATAATATGTGAATATTCTATAATTTAACTGATTCCTTTTGCTGATTAATTTTCTGTTTTTATTAATTATAAATAAAGCTGAAAGTCTTGTACATATATTTTTTTTAAATCCCCATTTCTTTGGATGTATTCCCTAAAGAATTGTACTGGACAAGTCTATTTGTAAAGCATCTAAAAATATCCTTTCTAGAACCAGATCAAAGGGGAATGTACCTTTTTAATCACACGATGAACAAAGACACTGGTTTAATTTTGACTTTTAAAAATTTGTGGCCAAGCACTTTGCCTTGGGTAATCCATTAGAAGCTAGTAATCCATTTTTAAAGTGTCATTTCCAATACCAAACTTATTCCTGTTAAGTCTAAGAATAAAGCATACAGGTTGATCTTTTTGTCATAAAGACAAAACCGTTCTAAAAATTAGTAATCCTTGAGTTTTCACCTACACATCAAACAGATTAGCTTCTCTCATGAACCCAGTGGTGGACTTAACCAGAAACCAGCACTTTCGGGCACAGTATCACATTTGAGCTGATTTCATAAAGACCACGCAGCAGCAACCTCTTTAGAGATGCATGCAAGCAAGATCATCATCATCATGGCTAGTTTTTAATTTAGACACGACCTGGGAGTTAATTATATATACATATGCGCGCATGTGCGTGCGCGCGCACACACACACACACACACACACACACACACACACACAGTGTAATACTACTCAGCTATAAAAAATAAACTCTTGCCATTTGCAACAACATGGATGGAGATGAACGGATTGTGCTATGCAAAGTAAGTCAGAAGGAGAAAGACAAGTGTCAATGGCATCTCGTGTGGAATATAGAGAAACAAAATGAAGGATCGGATAAAGTCAAACCAATAGCAAACCCTCAAAATCAGACTGTAGAAAGGAGGCCACCAATAGGGAGAGAGGGAGGGGCAGGGATAAAGAGGAAAAGGAGCACATGGACTATGGGCGTCTTGGTTGTGGGTGTGATGTGATACCAACGTCTGAAGGGGGCGATCCTATACCTCTCAATCATATTAAACCAATGTTAATTACCTCAATTAAACAAATAAAAATAATAGTCACAAATCAGACTCCACCATAGAACAGAACAGGAATATGATACATACAATTTATATGAATCTCCGAAGCATTGTAGTAGGTAAAACAACTTCGTCAAAGCTTGCTAGTATGTTATTATGCTTACATATCATTCTTGAAAGGTAAAACTCTAAGTATGGAGAATATGTCAATGGTTTCCAAGAGTTGAGATGGGAAAGACAAAGACAATATAAAGGAATCGGGAAAAAAAAAAACAAAAAACCCAGAGGCAAAAAACAAACAATTCACAGGATTACACCAAATGAAAATGTGGGTCACAAAAAAAATCCTGAGAGCAACCATCAAAGTATCCAAATACACACCAGAAGTGCTCAAGCAATTTAACTTAAAAAAAGTTTTAGAATTTCAATTTGTTTCATTTTATTGTAGAAACTGATAATGAAGTCAATGGCATATTTACTAGTTTTTAATTGCACTTTTTTAAATTGAGGTAATATTGTTTTATAATACTGTATATGATTTAAGGATATAGATTCATACCTTTCACATGTATATTACCACACATACCACCAACGCACCCATTGTCCTCCACCTTTGGGTGCCCTCACCCTTTGCCATCCACCCCCACCATCCCCTTCTGATAGACTTAATTCTGCAGTCATATTTCTAGGGTTTATTTTAGTTTAGTTTTACCTGCTCCTTTGTTTTATTTCTTTATATTCCACATATGAGTGACATCATCAGGTATTGGTCTTTGTCCTGGCTTATTTCACTTAGCATAATCCCCTCCAGTTTCATTCACATTGTTGCAAATGACAAGTTTATTGGTTTTTTTATGTAGGTGAGTAGTATTCATCTACATGGATAGAGGAGTGTGTGTGTGTGTGTGTGTGTGTGTGTGTGTGTGTGTGTGTGCGCGTGCGCGTGCCATATCTTCTTAATCTGCCCATCTGTTTTTAGGCACTTAGGTTGTTTCCATAACTTGGCGAGTGTAAATAATACTGTAGTGAACATATGAGTGAATATATCTCTTCAAGTTAGTGTTTTTGCGTTCTTCAAGTAGACACCTAGGAGTGGAATTGCTAGATCCTATGGTAGATCTATTTTTAATATTTTGAGAAACTGCCCTGCTGTTTCCACAGGGACTGGACTGCTCTACATTCCCATTAGCAGTGGATGAGCCTTCCTTTTCTCCAGACCCTTGCCAATATTTGTTGTTTATGGACTTTTTGATAGGGGTCATTCTCATAGGTGAGCTGGTATCTCATTGTTGTTTTGATTTGCATTTCTTATTGGCAGGAGTAAGTCAGTCTACAGTAGCTTTTTTTGGGTCACAGAAGAATACTAAAACAAATATCTTGGTTTCAAACTTGTGGGAATCAAGAATTTAGACAGAGACAGTTTATCCTGAAAAGCAACACATATTTACCCAGTGCCTTTTGTGGTCACTCACCTTGTTCCACACTTCTGGAAAGAAATGGTAATGCAACAAGGTCCTTACAGACCTAGAATCATTTGTTCCTGCTCATTAATATTATCCTTCTCATTAATATAATCATGAAAGAAACTTAGGCATCATTTGTGTTTTATTATAGTTTTGTTTTTATTAGCATTTATATCAAAGCCTATGGCCTATAGTTATTAACTTGGTATACGCATGTTTAAATGAAACCAATCATACATTAGACTTTAGGCCCAAACCACAAGATATAGAAGCAATCTAATATACCTACTAAGTAGATTTTCTCACACACACTGTAACGTTCTGGGATTTTTCCTTGCCTACTAGGATAGAAAGAAACACTTATGTTTGCATGGTCTTTTGGATTATCTCAGAGGAATCTGAAGCCATCATTACCTGATTCTCATAAATCCTTAATGTGTATATAAGAACAGAAGCATAGAGAATCCCATGTGATTCAACCTATATAGTTATCACAACCAGATGAAAGCTGGATTAACAGTAAAATTCCCACAAACCCAGTTAAGACATATAAAATGTCTTTAGAAACAAAGCATACAGAAATCTATGGGGGTGGTTACACAGCAAGAGAGGATGCAGCACGCTCTCAAAGGAACTGCTCCCGTGATTCCCACAGGATCATCTATCACTAAGCCAGAGTGAGGATTCCACCAGGTGTGAGAAGTTCCCCTTGTGTTACAAAAGGGACTGCACAAATGATAGAATGAGGAAGAAGAATTTAAAGGCTGATATGTGTATATAATTTACCTTTGACCAGCTACTTAAACACAAGATTTGAAATTAAGAAAAAAAAAAAAAAGCACATTCAGAATAGTCACAAATAATGATTTGAAGGACAGAAAAAATATATAAATTCTTAATTTAGCATGAACTATGGTGAGACTCAGCATTAATAACCAGGTTAAGATCCAACTCGGCACACAAAGACACAATTTGGGGATGGAAGATGTGCTAGGGAGCAGTGCCAGGGAGGGATGAGCCCAAAATGGCCATAAGTCCTAATGCAGCACGGAAGCATGTGAGTGTTTTTCCAGCTGGTTATTTTATTAGCTATGTCCTTTGCTGCTGTGAACATTCACTGGGCAGCATATAGAAATAATTTGTTTATAATGTGCTTTGGAGACAGTAAAGCCTGTCTCTAACCAGACTTTCTTGGATTCACTTTTTTGTGGGATGTTAGAAATCCCAAGATGGTTGAAATCCAAAGTTTCATAGATAACAATTATAGCAATGCAAAATTTTCTCTTTCCTCTGATTTTTCCCCAAGTAGATGGAGCGTGTTTGTGTGATTCATATTGTTCTTAGTTAATATCATCTGTTCTCATTCTAATTTTCATTACTCTCTGGTTCAATTTTGGGGAATTAGTACTTAGTCATTAGAGAGTAAACTTAAGTGACAGCTTTTGGCTAAAATAGGAGCAGCATCTGAGGGAAATTTGCAAAGATTAGGAAATCACCATGCCACACAGAAGAGGCAGAAGAGTGACAGTCTGTCCCAAGAAGAGCTGCCAATATTTTACCAGAATAGGGAATGGCACCTTTCAGAACGGTGGGCGTTTCCTGGCCTCTGCTTAACCCAATTCAGCAGCCCTATCCTACTGACAGGGGAATGCAGACATCCTTCCTCTACCTTTGACTCCATCAAGGGGCAAAATTTTCAATGCTATAAATACTTAAGCAACAAAACTCTGAAAAGTGTAGCCCTTTATGTTACATAATCACTTTCCAGGGAAAAATTTAAAATATGTGATAGGAAAATACTCAAAAAAAGTGCAAGTTCCATGAGTTCTCTAATGTGGCTTAATTTACATTGAGCCAAAGGAAGCTCAAAGGTCCCAAACTGTGACCATAAAGCATCACTTATTAAATAAAGTTGAATAGATATAAGATAATTGTCCTTGACATTCTTCTAGGGTCCTTCTACCCTGCATGTGACTGTGGCTAAAGGATAGTTTGCCTTAGTCAATTTTCCGGGAGAAGATAAAATTTCATTTTTTAACATAATCTTAGATAACAGTTTTTTTGGTTTTTTGGTTTTTTTTTTTTTGAATGGGAAGTTAACCCTAGCTTTATTTCCCTGGTAGGAAACTTTCTGTAATATAAAACGCAGGCACAAAAGAAGAAAGTCTTCTCATACATTAGCTCCCTCTCCCTTTTTTAAAACAAAATACTACGTGCCAAATTGCAAGGAAATTTTAAAAGCCCTAATTTTCCTTTTTGAAGTGTCAGTTGCCATGGGTGGCATTGGCAAGGGTAGATTCTATTTCACATACATACCCAGCCAGGTTTTCTCTCAATTGCTAGTCACATCTGGCATCCCTCTAGGGTCTATTTGAGATCCATAATTATTTCTTTACCATGTTAATGATTTCAAATATCTCTTTCCCACTACCCTGCTTCTTCCAGACTTTTGTTCCTTTGCTGTTGACACACCATTGTAAGATAAATAAATAAGACAATACCTAATTCCATGGTTGAGATCTCTGCCTCCCAAAATGATAATCATCAACAGGAAGAATGGCTCATAAGTAATGGACTGCACTAAATGATTCTGGTACCAAATGTAAGATAATTGCCTTTTTAAAAAGAAACCATTAAACTATTGTTCTATCTTTACTATTCCATGTGATCCAAGACCCCTCTCTCCAAGGAGATATTTGGAATTTAATATTGTGGAGGAAAATTTTTTGACAATGTCAGTAATTTGGAAAAAGACCACCCACTTAATTTGCCTTACTTCCTTTTTTTAATCTTTCTACTGGCAGGGAAGCCAGATTTTCAAACCAACATCTCCCTTAGGCCTGGGAAGATATTTAGCCACAATGGAGCTGCCAACTCCTGACTCCAGAGGAAAAACAAAGTTTCTTCAACCAACTGGGCACATTTAAGCTGGAGTAGGAAGGGGCATGGAGGAACACGGAAGGTCATCTGCTCTGTGAGTGCCTTCAAAATGGCCAATGCCTTTTCCACTAAGCTGTAGGAGGATTCTATGTTCAATTGTAAGGTTAAAGGAAACATACCAGAAGTCAATCTTCACATGCATGTGTCTTCAACAAAAATGATAATAATGAAATGTAAATTTTAGGATGGAAAATATCTGAGGTCTCACTGTGCCTGAGATTGGAGATTTATAGGCTTCTACCTGATGTCAGTGGTCAGTGGACCATCCTTCTTTAATTACTCAGTGTGCAGATTATTCTGGGGAGATCGTTCTGGTGTATTCTGGGGAGTCTGATGTTCCACTTCTCAAGGAGTAGTGCCTGCCCACAAGTTCTGTGACTCTTCCCTCTCTATGACGTGTAATTAGATTGAGACAAGGAGCATGGCACAATTTTGGAGGGGGAATTATTATTCTCTCTCCTACCTCCTCTGTAATGTGGCCTCCATGAGGGCAGGGTTCTTGTTCCTGGGTACACCGTAGCCTCTGCCATGCCTGCAGCAGAGCCTAGTACGTACAGCAGGAGTTCAATATCTGTGGAATGGATGAATAAGAGAAGACTTTGGGATAGTAGACCATCAAATGCTTCCTGGTGTGGGGCAATCTTTAAGTGTGGGGGTAATTCTGAGGAGGAGCAGAGCAGGGGGGCCAGGGTGAATGGAACAGGTGTATCAGAAAAGGAAGGATTTGATCAGGCCATGAAGGCAGAGAAGGAGTTTAGTAATTGGAAGACTCCACAGAACGGGAGTGGGGTGTGGATAAGAGGGCCAGGAGTAGAATGGGCCCCACAAGGAGATCCCCTCTTTGTTTATTTTCTCCACAGCCTTTCAGGAAAGAAGAGGGTGTTTCAACCGTGGCCCCTGTATGCCTCCCTGGGACACTTCTTGGAACCAGTTACCAGCGCCCTGCAAGCCCAACTCACAGGTAGGCAGAGAGAAATGTGCAGGATCCCCATCCCTTCATCCCTTCCCAATTCTGAGAATTCTTTCCCCACTTGTACTCTCAAGAACCTTTTCTTTTCTTTTTTTTTTTATTTTTTTAAAAGATTTATTTATTTATACAAGAACCAGGGTACAGGCCAGATGCACAGGAGGGTGAGAGGATTCACCAGAGACAGAGCGGGGAGCAGAACAGGCAGACTGATGAAATACACTGCTGAGGGGAGCAGCGGGTGAGACAGGAGAGGTCTGCTTCGCCATGTGGGATTCTCGCTGGCCGGCGGAGATCAAACCGACGCTGCAGAGGCTGCAGACAGCTTCATAGTGCATTGCTCAACCACCTGTGCCACCAGGGAGACTCAAGAACCTTCGCTCTTTCATCACCCCCCTGAGCACACAGTATGGTGTCTCTTGGGCCTGAAATTTTGTGGAAGATAAGAAAAGCTTCTGGTGCTTATTCTTCCCCATTACACAAATCCCCAAGGTAGCCTTTCAGCAGGTCCAGGTATTCACAGCAAATTGGCAAGAAAGGAAAATCCAGGGAGAAAACATAAATAAATATTTTCATAAATTAAGTTTCTAGGCCCTAGGAACCTCTTTCTGCTTTCCTAACACATTTTAGGTATAACTAAATAAATGTAAAATTTTCCAAACAAAAGAGTTGGAAAGCACCCAAAATGCTGTGTCCTCCGGGATTTTGGAACCCAGCAGAACCTGCTGCAGCACTACCGCCACCTTTCTTGTCCTTGACCTTGTTAATTAAATGCCACCACAGAAGCTGGTCTGGGGCAGGACTATGTGTGACTGAGATAATTAAATTGAAGAAAACACAGTGCCTCCCTGGTGGTGAAAGGGGTTAAGTTTCAGTACTATGAAACTATCCACAGCCTTTGCAGCACAAGTTCAATCCCCGGTCAGGGAGCCACCCACATGTCACAGCAGACCTCTCCTGTCTCGCCTACTGCTCCCCTCAGCAGTGTATTTCAGTCAGTCTGCCTCTTCTGCTCCCCACTCTGTCTCTGGTGAATACTCTCATCTCCCACACCTCTGGCCTGCACCCCAACTCTTGTATGCATAAATAAATAAATCTTTTTTAAAAAATTGAAGAAAATACAAGCTGAACTGAAGCAAAGAGATCTGATTTCTTGCATGAGTCATCCAAAGAGAGTGATGATTTGTCTATTTGAAAGATGAAATTAAATAATTCAGAAAATTAAGTGACACATCAAAATTCAGCACCACCCATTTTTTCTCTCCAGCCTGGTGGTTAGTCTCCTGAGACATCCCTGAGATGTCCTAGAAACAAATAATTCATGTGTGTGCTGCCAACAGTGCTAACTTGAAGAAAAGAAATATTGTGTTTTACTTGTACAATAAAACCACAATTAGCTGAAGTGCTTGGAGAACAGAATAGCATGGTTACCTCAGGCTTCCTGGGATCTGCTCTGTAGAATGCTGGAGAATGTTTATATGGTCACATGTCATGTTGACCTTTAGGTCAACCTTGTGCTGCATGAAGGTGGCCCCAAAAGGCTGCACCACACAGTCTGGTTTGTGTGATGTCAGCGCTATATCCTGGTTTATGTAATGACATTCTGTGTCACTCACACAATGACAAAACCTCCTCACACTGCACTTCTCAGAACATATCCTCATTGATAAGCAATGCATGACTGTATGTATATAATAAAGCTTTATATTAAAACCTAGAGAATTATTTATGAGATGCATTAGAGTCCATGAGCCCAATTTTCTGCCTCAGTAAGCATAAAATAGAATTCTTCCTTAAAAATAGAAATATAAAATTTGAATTTATCATATAAATTGCTTATTTTCATCAACATAGTAATATATTAATTGTATATCACATGAAGTTATCATGTTAATTTAATTAGTATATATATATGTTATAAATAGAATATAAATTCCTTCTTAAAATAACAATAAACTACTCCTGACAGTAAGATTCTCCACAGAAAAGAAATAAGGATAAAATAGAACAAGAAGTTCTGGAAGTTACACTGGGTTGTGTTTAAATACACAAAGGGGTTTATCTGGCCCTGCTGCTCCTGTTCTCTCCCAGCACAGCCTAGAATGTTCTCTGAAGAGGAGCGGTCATAAGGAAAGTCATTCATGCCTCCCAACCAGCACGCAGAAATTATATTGCACAGCCAAGCAGTTTTTCACTTACCCTGGAAATGTTTTTTTTAGTGCTCAGATTCACCTATCAGTGGTTCTTTTGTAGTTTGTCAGAAACAACAGAAAAATGAACCATTGAAATGAGAGCTCTAATTACTTGATCTCCAGGTAGCTGGATTTTCCAGGTTCTACTTGGTAAAACAAGACATATGAGACCAGAGTGTAGTTTTCCCAAATTGTGGTCAGAAGGGAGAACCGGGAGGGGGCCATGCATGGAGTTTAGTAAAGAAGAATTATTCACAATTTGGTCCTGAAATGAATGAGTCATCTTCTGTTACATCCTTGCCACTTGGTATTCTAGTAAGACAAATTCAGCTTTTTGTTATTTCTATTGTGCTTGTTCTCAGGGATGTAGTCCTGTGTGTGTGTTGTGTACATGTCTGTGTGTATATAGATATGTGTGTGTCTCTCTATGTGGGGTCTGTGTGTCTGTCCCTGTGCTGTGTGTGTGCACATGTGTGTCTATATGGTTGTGCATGTCTGAGTGTGTGCGCTTGTATGTGGGTGGTTGCGTGTCCACTCTGAAAATCTGAACAGTAATGAGGTCAGGCCTGGAGCAGGGGTGAAGCCGCTGCTGGAAGCCAAAATCGTCAGCTGTCCACCTCTGACTGTCTGGAGGGAGAGAGTACAGCTAACTCTGTGGAAGTGGAGGAAAGTGGAGGTGCTCACTGGTGTCCTCCTGTTTCCTCAGGCAGCATTTTTTCTGTCATCCATGGTGATCCCCTATCTCCTGGTTTCCCTCTGGAGCTTCTTCCCTCAGGGTTTCTTTTTTTTTTTTTTTAAAGATTTTATCTATTTATGCATATAAGAAGGGGTACAGGCCAGAGGTATGGGGGATGAGAGGATTCACCAGAGACAGAGTGGGGCACAGAACAGACAGATTTACTGAAATACACTGCTGAGGGGAGCAGCGGGCAAGACAGGAGAGGTCTACTGCACCATGTGGGTAGCTCCCTGGCTGGCCAGGATCAAACCTGTGCTGCAAAGGCCTCAGACAGACTCACAGTGCTGTGCTCAACCCCTTGTGCCACCAGGGAGGCCCTTAGGGTTTCTTTTAAAGCGGGCTTCCCTTTCCGGGGCCCTGCTCCATCACTCCCAGGCCCTGAATGCGCTTGTCCCGCCCCTTTTCTTAGTGGAGCCTGCTTTCAGCTGGAATGTCTATGGAATGGGATTTGCTAGAGCTAAGGCACAGTAAGGTTCTAGAGGCTATTAACTCAAGTGCCATGCACTTCTCCCAAGTGACAAGTTCAACTTTGAACTGCATTCCTCAAACAGTGTATCATTTCTCTTAACTCCTCCCATAGAAGCATCCAATGGTGAACTTCTAGAAATCCTACCAGAAAAAGTTTGAAGGGAAAATAGAATTCTCCTGGTATTCCTCAGTTTTCACCATGCTTGCCTGACAAGGCAGGGCCTGTGCTGCATATCCCAATATTCAGAGGTAGCTGCCTCTGTTCCAGGATTTAGGATCCATTTGGCTAGTGCTTTCCCCCTATAAAGTCTTACAACCAGGAGCAGCAAAGATATAGGCTTAACAGAATACAGTGTAACAAAGGTGGTGGCTAATGACTGAGCTCACTGCATTTTTCTCTCTGGCTCACACCCCAGTTTTTATCATGATTGTTGCAAAGTGGGTTCCAGAAATGAGAGCCATACTAAAGGAGATCCACAGCTCAGCTGACCTAGGTAGAACTGGGGCTACAAGAAATCTGTTTATTTTAACTGACTTTAAAATGACTCAAGCGCTGTTTACTGTCTCTGGTTATGTTGCTTAGAAACCTCATAATTTTGACTTGAATCCAAGTTACAAATGGAACATTTGGAAAACTCTGAAAAAATGTTCTTGGAACCCTACCATCCTTCAGGAAACTTTTTTCCATGTTAACTCGGCATCTCTCTCATACATATGTACAAGCTCATAGATATAACTGAAGACTTTATTTTTGGTTATTGGTGAGAAGAAAAGAAAAAATATTTTCTTCCTTTCCCCAAGTTCTTGTCTCAGATGATTAAAACAAAGACACTTCTACTGAATCGGTGGTGCTGTAAAGAAATCTTTCAACTTCCTTTCTGATATTTATTCTCCCTAGGGAAGAAGAGAGACTAAAACCAGTGAACCCCACATCAAGCAGGGTCAACAATGTCTCAGCAACCACCATCCATGCGTGTGGCCTCTCTGTCTCGCTGGCCTCCTCTCTCTAGGGATATGGACCCCTGCCTGTACCCAGCTTTCCTCCACTCTGTAAGCCTGCGGGGGAAGCCCATGCCCCCTAAAGTAAAGGTCTGTGCTTGTCCAGTGACTTTGCCATCAGGTTGATAAATGCAATTCAAGGCACAGAATCTTTTTTGAGAAAAAGAAAATTCTGTAAATATATCTGGTGTAAAAATTCTGTAAATATATCTGGAGACATAGTGTGGTGATTATTTTGCAATACAGACAATGATCAAATCATATCCTAAAGTGGAAACTAATACAATGTTAAAACAATTATACCTCAGCTTAAAAAAAAGGAAGGCTCTCTTGGGCCCTACCTAGTCCAAGCTACATCCTCTGGTACTGCATTATGTGCATTCTTATTCCTACAGCTCTCTCTCAGTCTTTTCAGAACGTGAGAGAAGAGTATGATTCTCTCAAGTCCGACAGATTAGTGTAATGAATCATGGAATAGTAGCATTTTTACACCTGGAAGAAATCTTAGAGACCATGCTAGATAATTCCCTCAGGTTCTGTGAGCAAACAAAGTGCTGGAAGCATGAAGCTACTTGTCCAAAGTTACTCAGATACTTAATGACCAAAGAGAGATGAAAGAACTCAGTTCTCTGGATTTCAGGCTCAGTGATCTTTCCATTACTGCTGGCTTTGAATAGGGCCAGCCTCTGTCAGAGGCACTTGAAATCTTTGTATCTGGCTCCTGCCAACACCTTGGAGGACTTCAACACACAAAGAAAGATACCCCTTTAGCAACCAGGTCTCTCAATTCTGATTTTCTTCATCTCCAATGAGCCTTTGCCTCACATGAGCCAATGGCTGTCAGGGTCTTGCACAGAATATTGTCATTAGTCAAAACCTTCTCCTCCTCAGTCACTAACTTAAATTCATTTACTTCCTAGTCTCCTGGTCACCCTTCCTTCCATTTAAATCATCGCCATTGCAACTGTCAGATCTGAGACCTCCAACGACTGACATTTTCTCTTCATGTCCTACAATTTTTTCCGCTTTCTCAATATTAACTAGATTCTAGAGCTCTTGATTTCCATCACTCTTCTTATTCATTCCAGTAAACCTACGGACCTTCCATCTTTTCCTTGACCCTGACAGCACAACCTGGAATGAATCTAACTATTCACCATTCCCTTTCCTGAACAAGCAGATGAATATTGCTGAAACTCACACAGCTGGGAGATCTGTACCTCTATAAACCCAGGTCTGCAGCTTTCCCTGTGCTGGCAGCAGAGCCTAGTGATCCTGCTGTGTTCCTCTGGCCATCTAATTCTCCCATCTGTGATGGCAATGTAAAAATTTGTCCATATGCCTTCAAACTCTGGATCCCTTTCCTCTCAACAACAGATACTTCGGTGTTGAGACAAAATATAAATCACTCGGAAGAGCACCTCAACTCTGCATAACTAAACTCATTCCCTTTTCCTTTCATCACAAGGCAGGAGGCATACCTCAGTCAGTCCCTCCACTCATGCTCAGGAGCCCATCTCTCTCATTGGTGCAACAACATGACATACTCTAGTATTTTAAAGTGTGGCGCCCCATCCATATAAAGCCTCTCCCTCTATAATAGATTTGTTCAATAAGCATCTATATATGTTACAGTATCTTTTTTTTTTTTTTTTTTTTTTTTTTGAGGCAGGAGAGGTCTGCTGCGCCGTGTGGGAATCTCCCTGGCCTGCCAGGAATTGAACCCACACTGCAGAGGCTGCAGACAGCTTCACAGCACTGCACTCAACCTGCTGCACCACTGGGGTGGCCCAGTTACAGTATCTTATTCAAAATAAATAGAAATGTAGACAGAAATGCTCCCTCCATTCCATGTTATACCTCTATTACCCTCCCTCCTATCTTCGCAGTAAATAGGTCTACACTCTCTGCCTCTATTTCTTCACCTCCCTTCTCTCCTTAATTCCAAGCTACTTGCTTCCCCATATGCTCCTGTAATTGCCCCTTCCCAACTAATAATTCCTTTTTCTTCTTATCTTACTTGCTTTTTCCACAGTATCCATCCCAGTGGGCCATCCCTTCCATCCTGCCACATGAAGATGACATTGCAACTCTCTTCATTTTCTTCCTAATCCCCCAGCTCTTTCTCAGTCTCACTGCTTGGTTTTGGTGGGTGCCGTGATTACCTCCTCTATCTCCAGGCTACTTTATTTTGATAAACAAACCAGCATTGTCCGGGTCCTTGAGCTGCAGTCCTCAGGCTTATAGCCAATTAACAACGGAGAACTTGACTTCCATCTCAACATTTGCGTGGGGTGTTGGTCAAATGAAGCACCATAATTCCATTCCATTCAGAGGTGGGAATGTGACTCAATTCTAGCCAGTGAAGGAGCTTTTACCTGGTACTTTGGAGTAAAAACCTTCTCCTTCTCTGAGAAAATAATAGACCTACTCTACTTGGCATGGACTGGAGGCATGGGCCCTTGGAACTGTATACAGTCATCCTGCTGCCAGCCTTAAAAGGAAGCCAACCCCACTGAAGGCAGTACACACAATGGAAAGAAATTGAGAAAGTGATGGCATCATTAATCTGCTGAATCTAATCATCCCTGAAGCCCATGTTGCCACTGGAATTCCCCAATACATAATCTTTATTGTTCAAACCAGTCTAGCTTGGCCCAATGATTTGCAATCAAACTCATTGTTTGTGATTCATTAACTGGTCTTTTATCTTGGATTTCCTCTAGGCACCAGTCATTTTTCTCTCCTTATTAAGTTTCATCTACTCTCATGGCTCCAGTAGCCATTTATATGTTGACAATCAATATGATATGTCTAGACCAGAACATTCCTCTAATCACTAAACATATAGTATGTCCAATTACTGACTAAGTGTCTCCCCCTGGATGACTCACAGGTAACTAAAAGTTATCATATTCAGAACTAAAATTATCTATTCCTGCCCTCTCCCCCCCAAAACTTACATAAACCTGTTTCTCCTGCAGGGTTCCCTGGTTTAATAAATAAACCAAACCTGAAACTTTGGAGTCATATATATCTTTCCCTCTTCCTTATCCCTCATATTCAATCATCATAGTCTGCTCTTTCTACCTCTGAAGTAATTCTAAACCATGTGTTATTTTTCTCCATTCTTACTGCCTTTACTTTAGCCCAAACCGCCAATATCTTTGCCTGAAATTTGCAATAACCTCTCCAATCTGATCCTCCTACCTCTACACTAGCTCCTCTCTAATGTGTTATCAACTTTGCAAATTTCCCTTAGGAAATTTGTAAAATGGAAATTTGACCATGCTATTCTCTGCTTAAACTCTTAGAAAGTCCAAACTCATTATAGTTAATATCATCATTTCACATTAATTCTGCCCTCAAACAATAAGAACAGAAGCAACCATAATCTCTTTTTATTTCTTTTTTTTTTTTTTTGGTTCATTTATAAAACTCTTACAATGCTATGTTCTGGGTAAGCGTTTCATTTACTCTTCCCAAAACACCAGAAAGAAACTACTGTATAGCCATTCACTTACAAGAAAGGAAACTGGGGTTTTGGGTATTTTTCCCAAGGTTCCCCAGCTGGAAATTGAACCATTAGGAGTGGAGCCCCGGGTTGCTCCATTCAGAGTAAAGTGAATTATAAACTGCCACTTAGCATGACCACAAGCCCCTGTGTGATTTGGTCTTTCCTTACCATTCTAGCTTCATCTCAGGAAACTCTTCCCTAGGTTAATAATCCAGTTTCTTGTTCCTCAAATATGTAGCCCTTCCTCACTATTTTTTTTTTCTATCTGGAACATTCTCTGAAATGCTCAGTCACCAGGACTTTCTGATGCAGTACCTCATGAATATCACCAAAGACCCAGGTTCTTCATTCTCTCTGCTGTCCATCCAACCTCTGTTTCCTGCTCAGCTAGACTCCTATCATAGGTGTAAGGTGGCTGCTAGGAGGAGATGGCAACATGCTTCCTCTTTCACATGTGGTTGAAGAGAGAAAAGTGTCCTTCCCCAGCTAAGGAATAGCGTTTCTTCCCTCAACTTAATTAGGCCAATTTAAGTCATGAATTCTGTACTGCCTAGCAAATAATTGTCACCAAAGGCATGCCATATGTGTCAAAGGGCATGAGATTCCTTGTGTGGCTTAGACCAATTAGTATGCATCCAGGAGCAGAGACTGATTCCTCAGACTGTATTGCTGTGATGCCATGGCCAAGGGGGTAGAATAAATGCTGATGTGTCAGTCATATTCTCAACAGCAGCCCTTTGTTAAGCTAGGTCCCAATGATAGTGAATTAGTTCATTCAGTGTATCTTTTTTGGATTCCAGACACTGAGGTAGGCACTAGGTTTGGTAAGGTGAACAAAATAAGCAGGATTACTGTTTTTGTGGAGTTGCCAGCTTAGTAGGAGGGACAGAGTTCAACTGCAGACCAGCAAACATGTAACTACAATGTGTGGTGGGTGGTTTATGGGAGAACAGGTTACTTTGAGAACCTGTTCAAAGGCCACCTTGAAGAAGTACTGTTCAGCTCAGACATGAAGGACGAACAAAAAGTAGCCAGGCAATGGGAGAAAGAAACAACAAGCTGTAGCAAGCAGAATACCCCAGGGTTACTAAAAGACAATCACTTCATTTCACTGATCATTTGCCTCTTTAGTTTTCCATTCCAAATGATATGAACATCTGTGCAGACTTGTAAGGTAATATAGATTTTTGAAACCTGTACAGACTTACCTTGCTTTATTGCCCTTCTCTTTATTGCAACTCACAGATACTGTGTTTTTTACAAAGTGAAGGTTTGTGGCAACTCTGCATTGAGCAAGCCTACTGGCAGCATTTTCCCAAAAACAAGGAGCACTTTATGTCTCTGTCATATTTAATTATAGCACATGCATTATTGTTTTAAGAATAATGCTATTATTGCACTCTTAATAGATTACAATATAGTATAAATGTAACTTTTATATATGATGGGACGCCAAGAGTGTCATGTGAGTCACTTAGTTATGCAATTTGCTTTATTGGAGTGGTCTGGAACTCAACCTGCAATATCGCTAAGGTGTGTCCATGTTATCGATGTAAAGGTATCACTTACAGCAGATATACAGGAGAAAGGAGGCCAGAAAGTCAAGGATGGTGAGGTAAGTAATATCTCGCTTATATAAAGAAGACTTGAAACACTGACTACATTGATTGACCTGAAAGTGAAAGTATAAACAACTTATTAAAATTTTTTAAAAGAGAAACTTCAGGTTTAAGATAGCAAAATAGGCACAGGCTCTGGATTTTTGTCCCTTTCTAGTTCCAAAGAAGTAAAAATAAAGAAATACTAAGATGAAGGTAATTGGACCTCCCTGGTGGCGCAAGGGTTAAGTCTCAGCACTATGAGGCAGTTGGCAGCCACTGTGGCGCAAGTTCGATCCCTGGCCAGGGAGCTGACCCACATGGCACAGCAGACATCTCCTGTCTCGCCTACTGCTCCCCTCAGCAGTGTCTTTCAGTAGATTCACCTGTTCTGCTCCCCACTCTTGTCTCTGGTAAATCCTCTCACCGCCCCCACCCACTCCTCTGGCCTGCACCCCAGCTCTTGCATGCATAAATAAATAGGATAAATCTTTAAAAAAAAACAATGAGGAAAATTGTAACAAGAGAGTGGAAGAAACAGTGAAGACCCTGTCATGTGGTTTTGGGGCACTTGATACCAAGATTAACATGATAAAGATGTTAGTTGTTCCGAAGAGACAATCTTAGGCTCTATTAATAGATGTTTCTCTGCTTTCTGTCAAGTATAAATAAAGAAGTGAACGGAGTGTCCTTTTCAATTATTCTCTCCCACCCTCACCCCAGTAATAAATGAAGCCAGATAGGAAAAGGCTAACCATGTTCATATTCTTGTGTTTCATCACCACAACCGACTGTCACCCAACTCTAAAGTAAAAGAAACCAGGGGTATTTCCCTAGAAGACTTCAGAAGTGTCTGAATTGTTTAGTAACTTCATCTAAAATGAAATGCTTGAATGATGCTACAAGCTACAATATTTTGCAAAAAAGAATGTTCAGAAATAATGCATTTTATGTCATAGCAGCTGACATTCACTGAGCCAACAGAACCTGATAATTTAAAGCTTGGTGTTGTTTTGGGGGAAATTGGAGAAATTCTTCCAAGTAGGCAAAGGGGTTTGCTCCTCACCTACTTGGCAGCAAAGCACAGGCAGTACAAGGTGAACCCACACATTTGGCAGCAGCTGGGAGATAAATTCAGTCCTAGGTGAGGACATTTAGAAGCACCATCCATGGGAAATCTGAAAGGAGTGAAGCCTTCCAGCAGGAAAGCTCAGCTCTAAAGCACTTTGCTGTCTGTGGTTGGCCTCAGTTTTAAGCCTCCGCCATTTTCAATCAAAAGTGAGCCTCGTGCAGTTGCTTTCAGAATTGTCAGCAGAGTGAAAAGATTATTAGATTTAAAACCCAAGAGAGGAAGTGGGCAAAGACTACTTTCAGATATTTTCTGCACCAAAAGATTCAGATGGCACGCTGGCAGGACAGTTTGAAGTTTCATGCACATGGATTTTATCCAACCTGAGTCTTAAAAAAGTCTGAGTTAGTCTCTGACAGAATTCCAAACCCAGCTCTGGAAATTTCCCAGCTTTTAATCATGGGAATAATGATAACGCCTATTACACAGGGTTGATTTGGGATAGGATGTACATTTTGGACACAGTGGTACACTGCCCTTCTCCATCCTCTCTTACCTATATCTGTATCCTTTCCATCACCTTCAGGTTTTGTATTCTATGAAGAATTTCCTGCACACTCAGAGGGGAGGAGAACAGCATGTGAATGTGAAGATGGAGGCAGAGATGGAAGTGATGTGTCTACAAGTCAAGGACTCCTGGCAACCACTACAAGCTGGGAGAGAGGTATGGCACAGATTTTCTCTCAGGGCTTCTGGAAGAAATCAACCCTGCTGACACCTGATTTCAGACTTCTGGCCTCCAAAACTGTGAAAGAATAAACCCTTGTGTCTCTTAGTCACTAAAATTGTGGTCATCTGTCACAGCAACCTTAGGAAGCAAAAAGAGCATTTCACGTGAAAACTGAAAATATGCATTTTGATTTACATGTTTTGCTAATTGATGTATGGAGGGTGAGTTACACGCTTCTCTACATGAAACTTAGGTGTAAGACTTTGCACCTTAAACAGGCTGATGTTTTCATACACTCAGGAAATGTTGCAGTGAGAGACTTCACTCTGTAAAGTGAGAGACAAATTATTCTTCCTTTTTAAAAAACATCTGGGCAAACATATCAAGCAGTGCACCCTGAAGCTTTAACATTTTGTTTGTTTATAGAAAGTATTCAGCCTGTCTTTCAATGACCAAGGATCTATTCTTTGGTTTGTAATGGTATGTAAATGGAAGTTTGTGATATTTGATTGCAGGAAGTAAGATCACACTATGCTGTGATAACTTTGAATATTATCTGTCCCTGCTGACTCTCCCTTCTCAGTTGATGGCAATATGATCTTTCCTTCCAACTCTGGAGTAAAACCACAAGTACCTCTATGCGGCATTTTTTTTTAAAGATTTATTTATTTATTATTCATGCATGCAAGCACTGGGTACAGTCAGAAGCACGGGAAGGTGAGAGAATTCACCAGAGCCAGAGTGGGGAGCAGAGCAGGCAGAGGGACCGAAGTATACTGCTGAAGGGAGCAGCGGGCGGCCGGAGAGGTCTGCGTGCCATGTGGGACCCTCCTCCGGTGGCCGGGGAGCAGCCAGGGATTGAACTGGCGCTGCAGAGGCTGCCGGCAGCTTCACAACCCAGCACTCAACCGCTGCGCCACCAGGGAGGCCCTTAACCCACATTGTTTCCTGGCGCACCAGGTCCTCTGACCATCCTTTTGATAGTCTCACTCCTTCCACCCTCCAGACATGCCTTTCTGATTTCCCGTCTACTGCTGTCTGCTCTGTGGACTTATTTTTTCCTCCTTAGCTTAACTTTAAAATGTTTTTTAAGGTCTCAGTTCTCATCCTCAGTTCCATTTCATAAGTATTGTAAGCATCAGCTAATACCCTGGACATAATGATCAATGCTGTAGAGGCAAAGAGGAATAAGATCTGCATAGCATGAGAGGGGCATAGAAATGAACGAGTAATCTGCTCTGTACCTACAAGCTGCAATAAAAGTGTGTACAGGTGACTCACCCACAGAGCTGCAGAGGATAAAGTAGCAAACTCTGTCTTCTCTCTTTACCTTCTCGTCCAAGTGTCTTCATTGCATTGTTTCAAGAGCAAGAGCTGGAGGTTCACCCAATCAGATTCCAACAGGGAAATTTATTATTGTGTTACTGTAATAATATATATGGGGCAATAAATGACAAAGTATGTCACTGGGAGGAAGGAGCAGGATGAGCTCCATTTTCCTTATCATTTATACTACATTAAGAGGGCATGAATATTGTGGAAGCCATGCAGCTCTTGGGTCCAGGAATGGCAAGACCATCAAGAAGGTCACGCATATTGCCAAGTGTGGAAAATCTCATGGATTTGACTTGTGCTTTATCTTAACCACCATCATCCCTTCTATAGCTCCGAAGAGAACCCTTTCATCCCCATCTGCCTGAAATAACTTATAATTTTTATGCTCTGCCTACAGTTCTTTGGATTTCATATTTTCCTTATCCCCTTCCCAGCCTAGCTGGGTTGCAGCGTAAGTTTGTGATTGTGAAACATATAATAAATAACAAAAAAGAAAGAAGTTGAGAAAAAATAATCTTACTGCTATTCTGAGGCCCTTTGGAAAAAGTAAAAGAATTTTGAAGGAGTGCAGGCCAAGGGCCTGAGCATTTTGCCCAGATGATATGTCTAAAAACAAAGAGAAAGATTACTATGAAAATATTAAGTTAAGCATTATCATACACAAAAAAAAATCTTTTTAAAAAACTCTAGTAAATGAAATTACAAGGACTACAATGGTAAGTAAAGCTAGCAGCTACTCTGTTTCTTTAAACCCCAAATTAACATCTGTCTTCAGGATCAGAGGTGTCTGTGATGGGAGCTGTGCTGCGGTGTCCCAGTCCTGTCTTCAGTGGTTAACTGTTAAGGTCAACTCAAACCTGAAGTCAGTAAATAAATTGGTCCTTGGCATAACTATGACAAAATCAAGAAGCAGATTATCTCAATGGTCTCTCTTAGCACAATAGTTCAGGAACTCTGCCATTACCTGCAAAAAGGATTTGATTTAAAGCTACCCTGTTTGAAAACATTTCAAAGCAGCAAGTAACTTGCTTGGTGTAGGGTAGGTAAAAGGTATCGGGCTTTTCTGCCCTCCCGCCATCAGGATAGATGATGGATCCTTGCGGTCCTGAATGCATGCCTGATGGCGGGCACCTGGAGTAGGGTGTGGGCATAGGTAGATGGGATTCGACTGGGCTTTTAAGGAGGCATCACGGGGACGCCAGCAGAAGCCGAGAGAGAAGCAGAGCCATGAGAAGAGCAGAGAGAAGCAGAGAGAAGGCCGAAGAGCCCAGACAGAGTGAAGACCTGCTGGGGGCTGGGAGGCCTGCCAGCCTCCTGGCCCCCCATCATCCCTGCCTGCTGTGTACGGGGCAAATCCCAATAAAAGCCTGCAAAAAGCCACTGAGGGCTCTGACTCCTCCTTCACCCAGTCTGCTGGATCAGAAAACCTGCACCGTGTCCATTCCTGCCTTTACACTTGGTTTTTAAACAATTTCCTCCGTAATTGGGATGAAGAAAGAGATCGTCCATTTTTACTCATTTTTAATAAAAAGGACATGCTACTAACAGGGGAAACCAGGACATTTTAGATCATGCTAAAAGGAAGAGCCAAAGGGTCATCATGTCATCATATGTCACAGTGTCATATGTCATAGTGTCAGAGTGGCATAGATGTCATCTCTGCTGTGAACATTTTCATTACTCTCTACTGCAAGAGAGAATTAATGTTTCCTGTGACCCTTGTCTGGATTTCATAAAATTTATGTTATTGCACATATCTCACTCTGCTGTAGTGGTTTTGTTTTGTTTTTTTAACGTGTCTGTCTCCTGAACTGGATTGTAAACTATTTAAGGGTAGAGGCATTTTGCACCATTTGTACTCTCTCTGTTTGTTCTGGCTTGACCTTGTAGCTGCCTGATGAACTAATTATACTAAACTTAACTTTAAAAAGGACTCTCTGTGTTCTCCAGAGAATGTTACTGGCACAGGAATACTCCAAGTTAAAGAATATGCTTGCATTTTAGTGACTGGAACTCTGATACCTAAGTAGGAACAACGTCTAAAGCAAAGCCAAGTATCCTGACAGAACTTTAAATCCAATGTTCTGGGTTTTTGAGAATCTATCCCCATTGCTTGCTGCCTTTGTCTGTTAACTGTTGGTGATTGCTTAATGGTCTCCAGCTGTTTTCAATTCCAAGCCTCTACATTTTTCATCCATTTACTAAAAAGCATTGAGTGGCTTATAAGGAAGTATTTTGAATGGAATTATTTCTTAGGTTCACCAGCCAGTTTTGTACCCCGGACACCATCCACCCCAAACACAGTGTAACTTCACTAAGCTATCTGAGAATTCCATCCATCATCTTACATTCCAGAGTGACCCAGAATTCCCCTTTCATGTATCAGCTCAGCACAACCATCCATCCCAAGGCTTGTCAGCAATGTTGGTTCTACTCTGCTTTCCTTCAAACATAATGTCCATCTCTGAAAAATCCATGAACTTGAAATTTCTACGGAAAAGCCACTGATATAGCCCAGCCCATTGATCTTCCTATGGAAAATATGGTAGAAAAAATGACTTAACGATGACTTTATTCAATCCCCAATGGCCCAATAGAAAGAATCCCATTCCATGACAGAATGTCCATGATAGAATTGTCCTGATAAAATCAAGTTCACATAGCACATTTTTGCCTGGATATTTAGCTGAGTGTCGGTGCCTGGAGGAAAGAGCAGAGGACTAGAAGCAGTGAGTTCAGGTTCCATCCTAGAGCTAGCTCTGCGATCTTGGTCAAATGACTTACTTCTGTCACTGTTGATTTCACCAGACAGGTACTTGAGCTAAGCAAAAACAATGAACTGTACTGAACCTATGCTGGTTACTTTTATTTAGTGTCAAAAACTGAAAGGTGTGAGATTATACCCAACTTGAGATCTCAAGTGTTAGGGCACTGTGATTTTTCATGGATGATGACAAAAACCTGGAATCACTGGGTCAGTGGACCAAAGGCATCATTATTATGACAGAGCAAGCAGCATGGGAACCTATGTATCTGTGCCAGTTCTTTTTGTTTCCAATTTGTATGGTAATGACACAGAAAGGTCCAGGAGGAAGCCTTCACCCAGTTGGTTGTATTTCAGGGCAGGAACCCTGAGTTTAGGGAAACTGAATCTTTTATTTTTTTTATTTTTTTTTTTTTTTTTGTGGGACCCTCGCCGGCGGCCGGGGTTTGAACCGGCGCTGCAGAGGCCGCGGGCAGCCTCGCAGCCCAGCGCTCAACCGCTGCGCCACCGGGGGAGGCCCGGAAACTGAATCTTTTAGAATGAGCAATAATCATCCCTACCTTTGCCCCAGAGGGAGGCACTTTATTTCCCAATGTTGTTTTGCTATACAAATATCATTGAAAGGATGGTCCAGAAGAAAAAGTAATCAAAGCCTAGCGCATAAGGCATGCAAAAATGTAAGATACCTATGGAGAATTGTCTCTCAGAATTTGGCATCCTTTATATAAAAGTATACCACACAAACATATCACTTTACTTGGAAAACAATTTCCAGAAGGTTTACTTAACTGTGCTCTTTCTTAGAAATAAAATTTAATGCAAATCATACCATGCTTTTTCCTTTAAGCTTCACTCTTCATAGAAGCCTTGTTCTCACAAATACCAAGTACTACTATTATATTTATTAAATGTAATTTCATGTTGCGTTAGCATCTACTTTTATTTCAGGCTCTAATATGGACCAGACACTGTCCTTGATCTGTGCTTGACCCATATTTTCTCCCTTTATCTTTGAAAATACTACAGGTAGATATTATTTTATAGATGTTGGAAACTGAAGCTAAATAAGTCA